AGGCGCTTTGTTCCTCGCAGCGGAGACGATGAAGAATTTACAGTTTGTGGCCATGGGAGTCGTGTCAGTATGCTTGACCAAGCCTGCGTCAGGAGACCCATGGATCCGAGGTCATCAAAGGCTGACAGAGTTGGCCGTGGAGGAGCACTTTGGAAGCCTGCGAGTGCAACAAACGAGCGCGCAACTCACTGCGCGCACATACTGGCGCGCAAGCGCCCGAACCATGATCAGGGCACACAAGAACGCCAAGCCACTGGAAGCCCCAACAGATGAGGTGAAGCCTTTGCCCTCCCGCGAACTCATGCCTGTCAGCAAACGTGCGTTCCAAGCGGCCATGCAGCTGGCTGCATATTGCTGCAATACTTCCCCAACGTCCGTGGAGGAGTCATACAGGCAGTGGTGTGCGGATCAGGGGTTTGACTTGCCTGACCAAGAGTTGGGAGATGAGGATGACGATTTTGATTTGGGCAGCGCAGAGACCAAAGATCCAGCGGCAGAAGACCAGGAGATCATCCAAGGCTTGGCAGAGAACAGCGCTGTCCTTGACGATGCACTTGCGCCAGGTGATCGACCAGACCAGGAGGAAGATGAAGAAGATGGGAAGCAATTACCAGTCGAGCTTCGAGGGCTACCAGACGCATCCATCTTGGCAGAGTTGTTCAATGTGCCAGAGGATGGGGATCATGAGCAGTGTGCAGGTGACCCTTGCAACTTGTCTGAAGCACTACAAGGACTTCCCATGGCCTGCCCTTCGATTGACCTGTTTGACAGGTTGTGGCGGTTGCTCATGTATCTGCGGCATTGGAAAGGTGGTGGGGATGGTCACTGGATACGTAACCCTCATGCAACCAGAGTGAAGAGCAAGAATCTCAACTGGCAGCAGTGCCCTGCAAATGGTTTCAAGGCTGTTTTAGATATTTTAGAATATTTTAGATATTTTAGATATTTTAAATATTTTCTTTATAAAATAGGGGGGCATTTGAAATATTTAGCTTTCTGATGTTTTCTGCATCATTTGGCTTTCACTATCCCTCTATAAAATCAGGGGGCATAGAGTTCTTGTCTGTTGGGGCTATT